ACTCGTTTAGTGTTATAGGGGTTACTTTGTTCTTTTACAAACAATCATATAATGTGGCCAACCACATACAAAATGTGATGTTAAAGGCTATATTTGGTGAACAACTTAGTCTTGGATTTATTTATTATCTTTTGGCTTTTCAGTGCGATCAAACAATCAAAGTATGTGCTTGGTACTCCGTAAGAACTTTTTTCTTGGCTAACAAGTCAGCTTTTCCACCATTTTAAATCTAGTAAGACTATCTTTGTCATATTGGTGGGCTATTCATCATGCTAATTATCTTTCTATTCCTTATTACAAAGATACAAAATAAATCAATGTCCTTAAAGGTTACTCCATTTTGTATGAAACAATTGGCAATCACCAACCAACATTGCAAGGAATTGTACTAGAAGCCAATAGTCAAACAACCAACATAATAAGCCAATAAAAACAATTGGTCAAATTAGCCAAAAGATATAACAAACAACTGATTGTCAAACAAAGCCAAAATGTGGTATTACAATTGATGGTTCAATTGAGCAAAGCATTATGTAGCGAAGGGGAGTCTTTTGGAAGAAATGCAAACAGTATAAAAAAGTAACCAATATTATGATTTTGAACCTGCTATACTAAATTGAAGTATTATAATTTCAAACTTATTCTAGGATTAATTTTGTTTTAACCTATCTAGCAATGTGTGGGTGTATGATTGTTTTTTTGTCTATCAAAGTCAATAATAGTTGATTTCAAATTAGTTAATTGGTTAAATCTTTGAAGGTAATCCTCTAATCTTGGATCAAATTTCATCGAAATCAGTAGCTATATATAATAACTTTTGGTCTTTTCTATCATCAAAGTCAAATAGAATTGATTCTAGATGATTTAATAGATTTAGTATTTGCGGATGAACCTATGCTTTAAGATCAAATCTCGTCAAAATCATGGTCTGGCTTTGAAAGGCATTGCACATCGGTTTGGGCTTATGGCGATATAATTGGATATATTTTAATCTGTCAATTAGTGTGTGGCTTGGGCGATGTCCTGAGTTACTAGTTTGTAATTATTTAATTTGATAATAACGGTCGGTTGTTTTTTTCTTAATGTATTGATTATCGTCTTGAAATTTTAATATTTTGAAAAGAGATTTGTATTAGGAGAACCATATTCAATATTTTGTAGGTTACTCTCTATGATTAAAAGCTATTCAACTATCGACTATTTAACAAAACAATTCTTATTTTTCATCAAATCTAAAAACAATACAATTTTTCAAACTTCAAAATTAAAGTTGTTAAATTATCCTATGACATGTAACAAATAGTACATTTAAGGACTAATCATCTTATCCAAGTTAAATATAATTTGGTTGAATAAATTCACACAATATGCGGATAGTTAAGACTTGTATTGTAATGCTTGTTGGTTTCGAGTTCAAACATGCTATAAGCATTTTTTAGATGTCAAATCTAAATCATGTTGTGGAGGTAACGTGGCAAGTTTATAGTGCTTAAATAGGTGACATGTGGCGTATATTGATGACTTGACATGTTTATAGAGCTTAAAAGGGTGACACGTGACACATATTCAGTTTTAAGAACGTTTTTTTAATATATAAGTATAGATTAAGTATAGCAGTGAAAAAGGCTCCAAAACCACGCTTGTACTATATCATGCCATCATCCTCTCCCAACTTCACTAAATTACTTGTTTGACTAATTATGTACAAAACCCTCTGTTTAGTGGAGCCTAATTATATGATGAATGTCATGACTCATGATCTTGAATTAGGGTTAAAAGTCTAGAATAGCAGCTCATTATGTAATGAAAAGGAAGTTGTTGTATAATCTTAAACATTCTAGGATTCCTTTAATTATGACTACAAAATTACCTTCCATGCTGCATGCATGATGGTGTTTAACTTCTCAGTTGATCATTTAGAGGTTAATTATTAGAGATTTGGAGGAACAAGAACAATAATATAGATAAAATCAAAGCTTGAATTTAATCAATGGATCATAGCAAAAGTGCCGATTAAGATTTTATTATTTCACATTTATTTAGTTGCATTCTGTTTTGTTTTTATTTTTGAATGCAAATGGTGCCATTGTTTAGGTGTCGTAGTTTAATTGTGTGAGAGTTAGAATTGTATGTGAAGCTCAAGATTTCAAATGCGTGTGATGATTTAAAAAATTATGTATATACTTTTATTTCTCACTAGCCCCATACATTGCTCAATATCCTTCCTATGACCCCAAAAATATATCTATCTATTACATACAACTAAAAGCGAATCTAAGACAACACTTGACAATGTATTATTAAAAAATTTCTCGCCAAATTAATTTCTATAAAAAAAAAATTATTATTATATAAAAATAAGGTTTTCATCTAGATTATGACTTTGATTTTCTATGAAATCTAAAATTATCTTCCTACAATAATCAACTTGCACATTATAACTATTACATATTTAAATATTTTTTTCACATGTTTTGTTGTTTTAATATATTCATGCTTTTTAATACCTGGTAATTGATTCATTTTTTTTTAAATAATTATATTGTTATTATAATTCAATATCCGTGCATTGCACGTGGTCTAACCTAGTGTCCTAATAAACTTAAAATTAGTGTTTGCCAATTAATTACTTCTATAGTTTGAGCTCTAATAATAGAAGATGTTTCCAGATTGGTAAACCAAAACAGAGCATGAATGGGCTTAAGGTCCTGAGAAGTGGGCTGAAACGTTATTGGGTTCAAAATATTTAATCCACATAAGGCCACATCAATACTAGAAGTATATATTAATATAATCACTGAATAGGACATTTGCATAATTTTGTGAAAAATTTTCCCTTCAAAATGATACTTCCTCCATTTAACACGTATTCTTTTTTGGAATGTTTTTTTTAGTTGATACGTTTCTAATTTAGATAAATTTTGTATTGTTAAATGACAATTTTACCCACACTCTTTCTCCTCCAAAAAAGACCCCACTTTCTTTCCTTTCTCCTCCATACCCCCTCTCTCTTTTGGCAGACCTTCAATCTCTCTCTCCTCTAGATTCGGGTTCATTTTTTTTTGGGTTTTTCTAAGCTATGCCCTCAAGGTTATTGAGTTTCTAAGGTGTGTCCATGCTTTTTCAAAATTACAAGTTATGCTCTCCAACTTAAGTTGTTTAATCAACCATATCCTCTGCCGTGAACTCGACGTTAACAGTTGTAAATAAATAGGAAGTAATAAGAAGCGGATGAGAAAAAAGAATAACAAATACACTGAGAGCTTGACATATCAATGGTTGCTTTTAGAAGAAAGAAGAAAAAATAGATGAGAAAATTTGGAAAAAATGCTAAATGTTAACCTACTTATATAACTCTAACCTAATTTGGGCGTGAAATTTCTCTCCAAAGTGTGGTAATAAACCATTAACACAACTATTAACGTTGGATTAACGTTATAGGGTACGGTTGAATAAACACCTTAAGTTGGAGGTTCTTGTAATTTTGAAAAAGCATGGACACACCTTAGAAACTCAATAACCACGGGGGCATAGCTTAGAAAAAACTTTTTTTTTTTTCTTTTCCAAAATTATCAATCACCGTTATTAATTGATGAACTACTTAGTGCTAGTCATCTTCCTGACATCTTCGCCCTCAAACTACAAATAAATGTAAAACAATTTTCACTTACTTATACATATTTATCTTCAATTTCGATCTTCACCTTCGCCATCCATTATTGAAGTTGCCCGTTATGAAGATTAATGGGCAAAAAATCAGTGACAAAAAAGTTACAATCTCATATTAATTGGAAAAATTTGAGATAAAAAGTTACTTGAATAAAGATGTCACCATTGTTAAGCCTTGAACTTTTCTATAATCTCCTTTTCCCTCTCCTCTGTAAATAGGTCTTTAAATTAACAATTGAAATCTTGGATTTGTTGATGTTTTTAGAGTTCATAGATTAAATGTATTGATTTAAACGTGGTATTTTTTTTCAGATTTTATTTTTGTCTATTCAATATGTGAAGTTTAATGGATGTTCTTCAATTTAAGAGGAGAGAGAATGGGGTCTTTTTTTGGTATTTTAGCACGTCTGCAATAAGATCAAGAACTTAGGAGGTGGGGTAATGTCCGGAAGTGAATGAGACCATTAGAGGGTATTTTGCATTTCTCTATCTTTTCTTTCTAAATATGCGCGTCAAAATAAAACGCGTCAATTAATAAGAAACGGAGGAAGTATTTATTATTTAAAAAAAAACTCTATTAAAAAAAAGAATTCTAAGAGTAACATTAAATAAATTCAAATTTTCAAAAAAAAAGAGAAAGTGTTACATAAGTAATTTAATTTCATTTTAATTGACTATCATTTTTAATAAATTTTATTATTATGAATCTGACATTGCAAGGGGTCAAAACTAGTACTTGTATAACAATATAAGGAAGCAAATGTTTTTTGCAAAGTTAACTGTGAGGATTCCAAAAGTCTCAAAATTTTCATATACATGTACTACATGAAATATCCGTGTATGATTTAGCTTAATTGGTTAAAGTATTGAGGGTTTATCTAGTTGGTTAAAGTATTGAGGGTGGTATTCAAGATCCGCTATCAAATCTTGAACTCTTGGATAACCTAATTTAAATTTATGCAAATGTACAAATGCAGGTTTGATTTTAATTTTTCCTCGTTTTTTCAGTCACAAAAGAATAGATAATTTCAGATAAAATAATTTTTGACATGCTCATATATAAATTCTGGTACAATGAAAAATAAGTTCAAAATATATGTGTTCAAAAAATATAAATTAAGTTCATACAAGTATAATGTAATATTAGATAAAATTAATTGAACCAAATATCTGTACACGTGTTTGATATTTTAGCCATGTACCTTCTCAAAATAAATGGTCTCATAATGACAATGTGCATTACTTATCTGACATAAGCTAAAAACAGAGGGTGCAAAAGTTGATCAATAATTGTACAAGCCTAACAAAATAAAGAGGTAAGCAATCAAATCTCAATAAAGTGAAGTATCACTCCAAAATCAAGATATTATTTTCATCATGGGTGAGACCATGTATTATAAAGAGTACTACAAGACATATATACCTAACAAGTAACAACCACAACGTACAAAATAAACAATGAAAAAGAAGCAAAATGATAAATCTAGGACTGTTTAGAAAAAAAATATTGAGTTTTATGATTTATGTTTAGGTCTCTAGTATGGACTACATCCCTTGCACCGCCATTAACGATTACAATGGTTAAATTAAAACAAAGCCGGTACATAAATAGCTATGGAAAACTATAATGGTGTATCAGGTTAAATAGCTCACCTGCAGTATATGGTGTATCTGTGTCAACTGTGCTAATTCTCAACAGAAAGTTGTGTCTTAATAATGGTATCACTCATGCCTTTGGCGTAAGGGAACATGTGTCCAGCACCCGGAATTTCATGGTAATGAATCCAAGGGAGCTTTTCAACTATATAACGCTGCAACGTGACAGGCACGAGTATATCTTCATCTCCTTGCCAGAGGTGAACACTCCCCTCATTGTTAGGGAATGGATTTGTCAGTTCAGTAGGGTCAAATTCCCATTTGCCGAACCCCACAGCCAAGTCTCGGTGGATGGATTGATATTCTCCTTGCTGTCTTACGGGAGACTGATAACCGGCCATTAAAACAATAATGAAAACAGTTAGGAACCAGAGGAGTAACAATAGAATGATTGATTGAATGAAATAATTGAAGGGTATCAAATGCTACTAGCTGACATATGAGCCCTATTAACAGACTGCATGCTTTTTAATTTCTTTCAAAAATATGTTCACCATAAACTATCAGGACCATATTATACATTCATATCTTTCTTGAGATTATCCAAAAGTTTATAATTCAGAGTTCCAAACTTTTCCTTGTCAGAAATCAAGATGACACTTAATGCACGAGAATAAACCTATTGAAGCAGTCATGGATCGGCTTTCTACTCCAAAAAGGAACATTATTAGTATAGCATAAGTTCATAATCATAAAATCATAACTATCTCAAAACATTAACAGAACATGAGCATTATTAGTCTAGCATAAGTTCATAATCATAAAATCTGAAGCTTGATCCTGTTAGTTAATTTTGTTTCCCTTAAAATAGTGATAATTAAATTGTCAGCTTTCTCATAAAAGTATAAAACACAAACACACAAAATATTAAATCAAAGATTTTCCCTGAATTGAAGAGCCATACCGAATCTTCCATTCCTGCAAATTGTGCAACAAGTTTTTTGTCTTGACGTGAGAAGATTTCTGGAAGATGATCAATCACACTCAAAATAGGAAATAATTTTTGTGTATTCCACCAATAAGATAGCCATGGTGCATAGTGTGAAACACGCAATGCCCATCTATCTCGTTGAAGCTGTTTGTTGAAGGCCTCAGCAGAAAGATTAGCAGGCAAACCAGACCACCAGTAGTTGACAACGGGAGCTATTAATGTTGCTCCTGCTAGCCTATCATCATAAAAATAATCCCACCAAAAAAAATTATGTAACAATTGAAATACTCGTATTTCAAATTAAATAGCCGATATTAACAAACATTACTTCATAATCAAAAACCAAAAATAGGCAATAACAGTACCTATTTGGAATATACTTGAGGCAGCTCCACACTGCTTGCCCACCCATAGAAAATCCAATCACATAAAACTTGTCTCCAAGTTCCAACTTATCAGCAAGCTCTTCTACATCCAATGCAATACTCTTTACTGTCCAGTTTGGATTTGGATCACTTTCTCCATATCCTGGTCTGTCAATTGCCACAATATATGTTCCTAAACTTTCAACTGTTTCCTAGAAAAATAAACAAAAACAAGTCGGATTAATACAATTCTGCATCTATATACAGCAAAATATAAATGGTAAGCAAAGTGAAGCTCTTATAGTATACCGGAGAAAGAAAGTTGGCAACTACAGCATGATTCCGACAGGAGTCAAAACCATGAATATAGACAAATTTATGCTGTGCTTTATCTTTTGGCACACCATGTTCTTTGTAGGCCAAATGCCTTCCATCATTTAATCTAATTCTTGGTGCTGTAACAGGAGGGCCATCTGGAGTTCCACAAATTTTGGGAGGAGGTGGACGAGTAGCTTGATAACCCCAAGCCAACAGCCCAACAACGCTGACCAGAAGAAGTTTCTTAAGCAACCCTGAAAATTTTCATACCTTGTCAAATCCTCAAATATATACTGTAGTAAATATGTCAGCAAATTGTGATAATATGTCATTACTTTGGTTTTGAATTTTATAGACTTCTATTGTGTCAAAGGTAATTAAATTTAATAATTTTGGAAGTCATACTTGATTATATGTTTTAAATCTTTATCAAGTTCATTATGTGGGTATATAAGATGGAAAATTATGGGATTCTTATCAATTTTTACTCTTACATTTGAAATCACACACACTTCATACTCAAGATTGGGGCTCTACCCATAGTAATCCAACTAAAATGGTAAGTGATTACACATCATAGATAACCAGCATTAAACAAGAATTGTAGTTGGCAGTTTCGCGATCTATAACAACAATTTCAAATGAAGCTCAAACAATTTACCATAAAGTATGTAAAAACAAACCATTATTAACAAAGGTACAAACCCACATCTCTCAATCTTCACACTGAACATAGCTTGGAATATGGAATTGAGCTACAAACAAACAAACCAACATACAAAACTACCTCGCAATTGAAATTTTCACAGCATATCATTGAGACATAATAAGAATCTCATTAACAAAGACAGTCAATTTGTCCACTATGGTATTCAGTCGCTCACTCTACTTACAGTCTACTCCAACATCAGAACATGAGTCAATTTGCCTTTTCCTAAAAACACATGTTTATCAATATGAATTAAAAATAATCAAATAAAATACCCAGATCCCAAAACCTTGTTAAACAAAATGGTCTTACGTATGTTGTGTGTAAATAGTTGTCCCAAATAAAAATTATTGGATTCGTAATCTTGAGTACAATATAAATCTACCTCACAAGATGATTGTTTCAAGACCCAAAACAATTAAAATTCCAACAATATCAAAACTTTAATCCCAATGATGGGGTCGGCTACATAAACCAAGATTTTATTAACAACCATGATTCACTCCCTTATTATCAACAACACAATGATGAAATTAATACAATGAAAAACAGTTTTAAAAAAAAAAAAAAAAAAAACAGAGAGAAAAAATACCAGAAGAAGAAGAATTAGGAATGGATTTGCGAGTGTGGGCCCTAGCAGAAGAAGCAGAAACCCTTCTGTTAACAGGTGCTCCAGCCATTATCGACCAATACAGGATCCACTTTTTTACCTTTGATTTGATTTGATAATCTCAACTCCAAAAATGGTGGAATGTTGAGATTATTTTGAGTGGCTCACACTTATTTATATTCAGCCGCTGAATTTGGAAAAATAAAACAAGTCTAAGTCTTGTCTATGTTTTCAATATGTGTGTGCGTGTGTTGTGAGGTGTGTCAGGGTTAGGTGACTCTTTTGTGCGAATGTTTGGTTAGTCTGTCTTTCTGACTATTGTTAGTTACAAAACTTAACAATTTTTTAAGGTTGATGCTAGAGAATATTAATAGACTTGTAGTTAGCGTATGATTATTATATAATCAATTATTTGGCAATTACATCATTAGTCTCAAATTAACCGCAATACACCGACACCTATTTAATAGTTCTAACTAAATTGAATATAATGCTTGATTCGTATGCGTGAATAGACCTAAATATGTGTCGAACAAACCACTTGGACACAAATTGTTAGTTGATATGAATTCCTTAACTATTTGACATGTCATGACAATAATATTTGGATTTGTTTAGTTGTTTGATTATTTTCGTTGTTCATTCTTTAACAATGACCCAAATCTCTCTCTTTACTATTGCTACTTCCCTCTCTTCCTCATCAATATTGAATCTTTTTCCTACTTGAATCTTCGACTCCCTCTCACGCAAAACAACGATGATCAACATATAATATTGGATTAGTTTAACTCTCAAATTCTCAATATCCAACCTACCAATAACCAATTCAAAGAATTTGTTTGTTTTTTCGGCTTTCAAAGTCAATCTTCATCAATTTTGATTTTTCACTATGGTATAAAATATAGGAAAAAATAATCCCAACTTTCGCCGTTTCGCTCAAAATAATCCCAATTTTGGATTATTTTTAAATAACCCGAACTTTGAGGGTATTCACTCAAAATGGTCCCAAATGACTGGTAACCTGTTAAAGAGGTTTGGGGGGTTTAAGTGACACGTGTCACCACGTGAATGGCTGAAAATAAATTAAAAAAAAACACCCAACCCCAACCCACGACAACCCCACCACCACCCAAGTCCGGCACTCCGGCGTCCCTCCTCCCACCGGCCTAGCCCAGATCCCCTCCCCAACCGTCGGCTACGCCTTTTCCAAGCGACCTTTTCCGGCGCCCTTCCCTTAAAACCTCCAACGTGAACCTCCAAAACCCTTAAAAAAACCCAGCCCACCGCACAAACCCCCCAAACCGGTGCTTCCCCACCCTCGGAACCCTAGCGCAAGGATTCCGAGGGTGGGGGAGCGCCAATTTGGGGGGGTTTGTGTGGTGGGCTGGGTTTTTTTTATGGTTTCGGGTTTATTTGCGGTTAAGGTTAGGTAATTTAGGGGGAAGCAGGAAGGAAGCGCCGACACCGGCTTGACGGAAGGTCAGCGGTGGTGGTTGGGGGCTCCAAAAGCAGTTAACGCCGGCGGTATTGAGGGTTGTCGGTGGTTGGTCCTCTTTAAAAAAAATCAACCAAACATGTGGTGCCACGTGTCCCCGTAACCTGATATAACAGGTGCGGTGACCGGTTGGGATCGTTTAAAGAGAATACCCACCAAAGTTTGGAGCGAATACCCCCAAAGTTCGGATTATTTAAAAATAATCCAAAATTAAAATTATTTTGAACGAATCGGCAAAAGTTGGGATTATTTTGTCAATTTTTCCTAAAAAATATATGAGTATTGTATTATCATATAAAATATCATAAAATTTATTTAATTTGATATTCCAAAATATCAATCCTTTACTCGTACATTTAATATGATAGCAATTTGTTTAGATTTTTTTAAAATCATATTATTCACTTATTTCTATTACTCCCTTCGCCCTTAGAGAAAAGCACAAACTTTCATATATATGTGGCCAGCATGGGTGGTTAATGGACATAGCTTCCCATTGATAATAGGGTCGGGCCAAAATTTAAAGAGTTTTGACCCTTTAATATTTTAGTGGACAGGGTCACTAAAGGGGTTTAAGATATAGGGTCAATAATGGACTTTTATTCACAGCCATTAATATCAAAGAAAAATAAAGGGCCAAAAAGAAAAACCTAATTAAAAAAAAAAAAAAAAGTTAGAAGATTAGAATGACCCAAGAAAAAATCAGAACCTCCAATTTCTCTCCCCTCTTTTCGATCTTCTAAATAAACTCTAAGTTCTTCAATTGATTTACAAATTATTGCGATTTCGAGCTTTCAAGCTTCACAATTTAGGCGACCTTCTTTATTTTTCCTTTGAGGTTAGTTAATTTCGATTATTTTGCTATATGATTCGAAATTTTAGGTTAATACTATAATTGCTAAATCGAAATTGTTTGATCGGTGATGTCTTGTTGTGGGTTTGTATTGTTGTAGGCTGAGTGTTGTTCTGCTTAACCAATTATAATAAAAATGATAAGAATTTCCAATTGTATAAACCAACAAAATTGAAGAAGAAATAAATAAATAAAAAATTGAAATGGAAAATGAATACGAACAAAGAAGAAAAGAATCAGACTTACATAGCATGTAAATAATGTTAAAATGAAGCTAACAATATAATGTTAAATTGAAGCTAACACCTTTTCTTGAAGATATTCTGCTTAACCAATTATAATTGATATTCTGAATTTTTAGTTGACATGAGTTTTTGCAATTGTTAATTAAATCCCATTAACTGTTGGTAATCTTTCTAAGCTTGCAATTGTGCAGTGTGTTCCTTAATATGGATGATGATACTACTACTACTTCTACGACACGTAATGATGGATATAATGAATACATCACTCCGCAACGAAAGAGAAAGAAGAGGTCTAAAGTTTGGAGAGAGCTTATTGAAGGGAAGAATGTTCAAGGTGAGAAAATTGCTACATGTGTACATTGTAATTCTATTTTATCTGCACATCGTGATAGTAGTACATCTCATTTGAAGCGTCATTTAGAGAGGTGTGCAAATAGGCCTCTAGGACTTACATTTGAGGAAGATAGTGATGAAGAAAATTTTGTTTTTGACATGAATGAACTTCGAAAAGAGATTCTTAATTTCATTGTTGAGGGAGGTCATTCATTCACTATGGTTGAAGAACAAGGATTTAGGATAATGATAAAAAGAGCTACCCATAAGTTTATACCATTTGGTCGTGCAACCACAAAGAGAGATTTATTGAAGGCTTATGTATTGGAGAGGGATAAATTGAAAGATTTGTTGTCTAATGTTTCGGGTAGAATTTGTTTAACAACCGATAATTGGAAATCAAATCATACTAGACACCATTTCATTTGTGTCACTTCTTACTTTGTTGATGATTCTTGGAAACTCTGTAAAAAAAACTTAGGTTTAGGGCCTTGGCTCCTCCATATGATTGGGTAAGTATTGCTAATGAGATTTGTATGTTTCTTTGCCAATGGAAATTAGATGATAGGATACTCTCTATCACCGTTGATAATGCAACTTATAATGATGCAATGATATCTTGTTTGAAGAGACGTCTTGCTCCTAGAGGAGGGTTAAGTTGTGGTGAGACATTGTTTCATGTGCGGTGTTGTGCCCATATTATTAATCTTATTGTGCAAAAAGGATTGACTTGTATTAGTGGAATTTTGGATAAAATTCGTTCATTTACAAAGTTGATCATCAAATCTTCTCGTAGAAGTGAAGAATTCTATGATTGTGTGGAGAAGATATTTCACCTTGATGTAAAAAGGAAATTGAACCTTGATATGCATGTTCGTTGGAATTCCACGTATAAAATGATTTGCACTTCTCTTTACTTCAAAGATGTTTTTCTTCACTTGAGATCTAGTCATGCTTCATTTTAATCATATATTCCTTTAGAGGATGAGTGAGAAAAAGTAAGCGTGACTCACAATTTTTTGGAGTTTTTTTATGAGGTTACTTGTATGTTTTCGGCGGTGAATTATCCTACTTCTAATGTGTATTTTAAAGGTACATGGATGGTGCATCACCATTTTAAAGGTGAGCTTTACTTCACTTTGGTTTCTTTGTTCTGTTTGAATTAAATATGCTCATTTTTTGTATCCCACTTGACAGGAGAATTATATCATACCCTGATCAAAGAAGCTAAGAGGCTGAAGTATCATGGTAGTTTTTGGGCTGGACAAAACTTCATTTGTAAATCTGATCTTTGAAGACTGAAAAAAAAAATGGAGTTTGCAGACTAGACTTGTGGATTTCAAAATGTTTATTTACTTACAATACATTGGTTTTTGCTTCTGAAAATGTGATCCGAACTTTATGGATATCAAAATGTAATCTGAAATATAAGTTACTCTGTTTGCTTTCATGGAAGCTGCTAAGTTTGGCCGCCATTGGTTACCTTTCTTTAGGGAAAATAATGTGGTGGAAAGGTGTCATGAAGCTTACTTCAATTCTATTGGATGCATTGCCATTTTTGTTACAAGAAATTATCTTGCCAAAAAAAAAAAATTCTCTTGCCCCAAAAAAAGGTACTATGAAATTCTATTGAAATGTAAGTTAACTTTAGGCGTTATTTCTTGGATGCATTGCCATTTTTGTTTCCAGTTTACATGAGCAACTAAATGGAAGTATGTGGGTAAAGGCCTGTTAATGGCCCGTTTCACTTTTATCTCGACCCTGACCCGCATTGTCCCTGACCCACTAAATATTCATCATGACCCGCAACCGACCCGCCCTGCTAATGACTCACATCGACCCGCTCGATCAATAACCACCCACTGGCCAACCATATATATATATATATATATATATATATATATATATATATATATATATATATATATATATATGGGGAGGTTCCGCTGAAAACAGAGCTTATGGTGAAAACTAAAAACAAGCAATCTTAGCCATTGAATGTTCACTAGATAATCTGATGGTGTGAACAACCCATAGGATAAGGTATATAGATTTTGGTAACATTACATAAAGGTAACTATATACAAAAATAAGGTAATTATATTGATTTGACAACATTTCATTAAGGTTACTATATATAAAATAAAGGTAATTATATCAATTTAACAACATTTACACAAAGGTCACTATATACAAAAATAAGGTAATTATATCAATTTGACATTAGTTACATAGAGGTCACCATATCTAAACTTAAGGTAATTATATAAATTTTTACAACATTTACATTAAGGTCACTATATACAAAAATAGGGTAACTATATCAATTTTGATCATATTCTTATAGAAGTCACTATATACAAAAATAGGGTAACTATTTCTGATTTTTGCACGTCACTACTATTTTAGCCTGCCCACATTGCTCCCACTGCTTCAATAGGAACCGCTAACTACAATAGATATAGTTAGTACCACATTTGAGACTAAAAGCATCAAAGCATAGAGAACCACACTAATAACATCAAAGTAGTGCTTATATCTTCCAGATCCATAGACAACTAGTAAGAATCGCCTTCAAATACTCCTTGCAACAAGCAGTCTGAAGTACAAAATACACCAAATTAATGCAGCTCACAAATTTGATGAAAACTATTAAATGGCAATATGGGTATTCTTGATGTTCTTCGGTTCAATAGTGAAGTTACAAGTACAGGTAACATTCCTTTGTTCCTGCCCCTAAGCAGCCTAAACCTTCACCCCACCATCAGCTAACCTACACAACATCAACAAGCAGCAATAACAACCTTGTAACTCCCCTGCTGCAACCTGCAAGTATCCACGCCATTCTCCTACTTCAGCACAACCCACGCAACCCAATAATTACACAAGTAGCTACGCATTCCCACAATAATCACCAGCTACGTACCTTAATTCGCCTAGCCAGCCATGTAGTTCATCCACCTCGCACCCACCAAATCCACAATTAACCTTCGCCAATTCACATGACCAGCTATCGCAATAACTACCACAGCAGTCCAGCCGCAACATCAGCAGCCGCATCTCTATCGGACGCCCACACAACAGCCACCCATTCGCCACCAAAGCCTGACTCCGACATCAGCAATTCAACCCCCAACAATCAACAATTTAGCCACGTGATGATTAAAGAAAGCAGAAAAGGTAACTGTAAGCAAAATATTGAAAAGGAAAATTTAGAACAGGAAATTGAAAAAAAATCACAAATGAAAATGAACAAAAATCAAGCAAAATCAAACAGGAAATCGAACAAAATTGAACAAAATCGAATAGGAAATCGCAAAGTCAAACAAAACTGATGAAAACAAAGTCGAAAAAATTGATGAGCAAAAGTCGCACTGAAATCGAACAAAATTAATGAACAAAACATGAAAATCGCACAAGAAATCGAACAAAATCGCAGAAGAAATTTTTTTTGATAAAATTGCCAAATAAAATCGAAAATTGAAAATATGAAATCTACTCAAATTATGAAAAAAAAATATATATATACAAATTAAGCTCAAAAATGCCATAAGAAGAAATTAAGTTGAATCTTAACATATTTACGCTCATATGAAACTCGATTAAGCAAGAAAAAGCACAATCATCAACAATCTCACAGTTCTAACACCTCTAATTTCGTAATCAACGCTATATATTCTAGGATTTTTGTAATTCAATCGAAATCACAATCGTATCTGTTTGATTTCCCTAAAAAATCATAGAATATACCAAATTAAACAAAAAATCATAAACGAAAAACTCACTTTTTTTAAGATAACGACGAAATCGATGAAGATTGAACCAAATTCCTCTGTAATTTGATGATTTTCAGCATTGATTTTGATTTGGGAAGGAGAGAGAAGGAGGGAGATGGAGGAGAGAGAAAATTAGAGCAAAAATAAAGGAGAGATAATGGATTGTCATAAATACACCAGATCTAATCTATTCCATTAGATGAAATCCAATGGTCTAGATTACCTGTTTTTAGATTTCAGCTTAAGGCTTGTTTTCACGTAATCCACTCCCTATATATATATATATATATATATATATATGAGACCACATCCCTTATGTGAGAACCCTTTTATATGTGAGGACTCATTATAACCGTTGGATCAATTACATCCAACGACCACAATTAGTCCCAGTCAAATGCGTTTTTTTCTCTCTCCTCCTTCCTTTTTCACGCACAATTTTCTCTCTCCTCGTTCAAGTTCATCCTTCCTCAGAAAATCGAAAATCCCAACAAATTTGAAAGATTTTAGAGAGAGAAGCAATACTATGGCAGTAGAAGAGCTTGAGAAATCAATCGCGGCAACTGAGATTGAAGACCAGAGAAAAGACGATGATGATTTGGAGGAAGGCGAGATTATCGACGACAACTCAAACGCCGAAAAACCTAGTTAATCAATCGCAACAACTCATCCTCTTGAGAATGCTTGGACTTTTTGGTTCGATAATCTTACTGCTAAATCGAAACAAGCTGCTTGGGGTAGCTTTATTCGACCCATTTATACTTTCTCTACTGTTGAAGAATTCTAGAGGTTTTCTTTTTATCTTTGTTTTTCAATTTTATTAATTTGATTTTATTGAATTTGGTTGTTTGAATCTTTTTGTGATGTGGGTGATTGATTGATTATGTTCTTGATGTTGTACGGAAAGAAGCTGAGAATTGTGATTGTTTACAAGGTATTCGACGAAATACCTCATTGAATTTTTTTTTCTTCAGTTTTCTTTCATTTTTGTTTTTGTGTTTTTGTTTTCTGGTGTTGGATCTGAATGTGAATATTTCAGAGCTCTAAATCTGAGTATAATTGCAAGAAATTGATTGAGGCTATAGTTTTGTTGCTTAATCTTGCTGTGTAGATGATTTGAACTTCTGAAGTGTGTATATAGTTCAAATTGGGGGTTGTTGAGAATAGTTGTATTCTTTTGTGGTTTGAAAACAATTAAGATCTGGGATTTTGTTTAATTGGAAGATAGTTTATCAATTTTTCTGGCAGTTATAATTTGAGTAAAGAAAATAATTGATTTGTGGTTTGAAAATAATTGATTATAATCATTAGCAAATCATTTTTGTTAAACAACCGTATAGGATATATCGTTGGCTGACTATTGCAATTTACTTATCGATTACTCCCAATGAAATTCAGGTTCCAGCCCCGCATCCTCATTGATGTAAGTCATATAGACATTACGACAACTGTCTTGGGTTTCAAGATTCCCATGCCATCATGATTGCTCCTTCAGCTATGCAAAAAATGGCTTACCCCGAAGGTAAAATTCAAGTCCTTGATGTTCATCTGAACGTTCAAGTATTCTACTTTGATATGTGAATCTGTGTTTTGGTTTATTGATGCTCATATGCAAAAAACTAATGCAAGTCATTCTAAAAGTATCCTCAATATCCAATTTGGTATTGAAACTGCTACTGTTTCAGGATAGCTGGTCAAAATTAACACAAGGCCAACAGACACCTGCTGTCCTGTAGCCTGTAGGCTTTAGTAATACACTGATTTATGATCTGAATATTAAAAAGCTCAATCAACTTGATATTTTATTTTAATTTAAAAGCAGTATTGGATCAATGCTTTGAATCAAATGCTCTAAACTAGATGCTCTATCATATATGAATATGATTTTGAAGATGATACTTTAAGTAATAGTATTCACAGTCTTACACTCGTCAATACTCTAGTCTCGCTGTCTCATGAGCCACATTTTATATTAGTTCCTGCTTTTAAAGTATATAATGTGGCATGTACCTGCATAAGGTGCATATATCTGACACTCTCCGGGTCATCCTCACCATGCTATTATTGTTTCTACTATGACATTCATTTTCTCAATTTCCTCCTGAATAGTGGAGTGTTTAATTTCTTTGTCTAAGCTTACTCTATGCTGAATTGAGAAACTGGAAAAACCTCCTTTTTTGAAGTGATCATTTTCTTGCAGGAGAATTTGCAACAACGAGGGCAGCATCTGCTGCTGGCACAATTATGGTTTTGACTCACATTTCTTTCCCTTCCTATTTTTCCTCTCTTTCTGACCTTAAGTATCAAATTCATTCTTTGATTTACACGTGTGATTATTGGATCCAGGCATTGTCTACAATGGCCACATCTAGCGTTGAAGAAGTTGCCTCAACTGGACCTGGAATTCGATTTTTCCAGCTTTATGTGAGTATAAGTACAAAAGAAATTGTAATTTAGTAACTCCAGTATTTTTCCAGCTTGCTGATTTAATGAATAATTAAACAAATGTTTGCTCATTTGCTGATTTATTCTTTACTAATTTGTCAAAAATGAGCAAATAATTTGTCAAATGAGCAAAAAAATTCAATACTCCTTTGTCCAATGAGCAAACTATTTAATGCTCATTTGTCAAATGAGCAAATGATTCTTGCTCATTTTGTCAAATTAATGCTCATTTGTGAGTGTGTTTGAATGTTTTAAATACGTTAGCCTACTAGATCAAGAGTAGAGCATTGTGCAAATACACAAAAGATGTGGGTTTGAATCCCACGTAGGTTCATTTATGTAAAGTGGAGACACAAGTTTGTATGAGAGTTTAATTGTAACAAAGCTTATATAGTTATAAATCATTTCAAACCAGTTTTTGCTCATAAATTTAGTACGAATTTGATTTTTTTTATTTAATCTATTTTGTTTATAAAGATAACCTATGTAGGAATTGAACCTACATCCCCTATGCATTTGCATAGTGCTCTACCAATTGAGCTAATAGGTTTTATCATATGTTTTAAATCATTTTCTATGTTATAAATTTTTAATCAGTTCATTTGATAAATCAACAAAGAATTGTTTGCTCATTTGATAAATGAGCAAAGATTTGTTTGCCCGTCTGATAAATGAGCAAAGATTTGTTTGCCCGTCTGATAAATGAGCAAAGAATTATGTGCTCATTTGATAAATGAGCAAATAATTGCCTACTTATTTGAAAAAATGAGCAAATTATTCTTTGCTCATTTGACATCATACACAAGCCAAATAAGAAAAATATTATGCATCATCTCTTATAAGAAAATCTTGTAATACTTGAGGGCTAAATAATAAGACAAATATTATGCACCAATTTATTCCTTGCTTTTGTTTATTTGTATAGACAACCAAGAATTAGTTTGATCATTTGACCAAAGTTCTTATCTTACACCACAATTCCACCGTCACCTTACACCACAACTCCACCCTCACCTTACCCAATCACACGCACAACAACAGCAATAACACCACAACAGGCCACACATCCTAATATCTGGGCCACCAACCATGCCCTGCTACCAGTAATTTGCAGCCATCGTTCCCAGCTAACACTAAGCTGCTGCTACAGTCCTCACAGCCACGCCACACATTGCAGCATACCAATAGCATCCTGTAACAAATTACCACCAATCACGATCCCATAATAGCTACCCAAACCAGCCAATTTCCTCCATTCAACCCTCCAAACAAAAGTGATGTCATGCTATCATGTGAGAGGTAAAATAAAACTTCTTTGATCACTCATACACTCTCAAGCACCTCTTTTCCTAGAAAAAATGTAACTAATAGGTAAAATCACAATTATACTAATGAACTCCAATGGGCTACAGTGTTGTATACAAACTTCACCTCCGATTCGTAAAGCCACACATTTGATGCTCATTGTAGCAATAAAATAGAAGATGCAATTCAATATTTCAGGCTCCAATAGTGCTAGTAAGCTCATGATGGAATAGTCTGAAAGCTTCTTTCAAAGGGCAGTTCATTTTCCGCATCAAAAGTATCCGAAGTATTACCTACGAACTCATTCAAAACAAACTCATTGATAATAGAGTACCAAGTCACAAGATCTCTAACAAGCATTTTATCAAACACCTTGTATGCACTATTAGGATATTCATAAGTATCATAAAAATGCACCAATAACCCATTTTAAACCAAGTTTTAATTGCAACACAATTACAGAATTCATAACAAAAATTAATCAACTAAGTAAAAGGATTCTGTCAACACAAACAAGATAATGATAAACAACAATACTGCGTAAATTCGAAAATACTGACAAAAATTAAGAAAATTATACTCGGAAAAAACTAACATAACTTTTGTTGATTATTTATTTGTATAATCTATGAAGCTTGTTGATTCTTATTGCTGCTGAAATCTGAAAAAAAATCGAACGGAATTGTGTTCGAAATCCTTGAATCTCATTGAAATTGAAGCTTGTAGTTTCTTCACTCTGTTAATCTGAGTAGCAGCAAGTATATGGATGAAAAGTTTAGATTTATTAGAGCCGTTGATATCGTTTGATCCTAAAGCTTAGATTTGTTCTCATATATTAGGAGTGTTCTCACAAAAGAGGTGGTTCTCAATAAATTTTGACCCAATATATATATATATATTTTATTTTTCCACTATTTCCTCACTTTCTCTCTCTTACCTTTCAACAATGGAGGAAAAACCTCCATTCTTCTTCATCTTCCTTAAGAGAGAGACTAATCTACACTTCTCCAATCATCATCATCATTTTCTCACTCCTCACTTTGTTCTCCTTTGCAACTCCTTCTCTCTCCTCCAAATCCTCCTTCTCAATTCCAAACCCTAACTTAAATTGTTGCAATCAGAGCCGCTGCGGTGGTGCGAAGGTGGAGTGGTGGTTGATGGTGGTCTGTTGCAGCGGTTCGGTGGTATTGTGGCGAAGGTGGAGTGGTGGTTAATGGTGTTGCGGCGGTTCGGTGGTGTTGCGGCGATTCGGTGGTATTGCGGCGATTCGGTGGTGTTGTTCGCACTAAAATGGCCAAAGAACCAGTTCACGTCCTTGCAATAAATACTGGCAACAATTACTTGATTTGATTGATGTGTTAATTTGCATGTGAGATCTAACTATTTGTTTGGTTTTGATTTAATTATTTAGTTTTTTTTAGCTGATTTTTGTGTTTTGGTGCATTTTTTTGAATTAGATTAGCTGATTTGAGGTTGAAATGTTGGTTTATAGCTTATCAATGAATCAATTATGACTAAAAATGAATTGAATAGGAGTAGATCGTAGTAATAAGATTTTGTTTGATTGGATATTGTTGAGGCAGTGATGACAAAAACATACATGGAGTATACATTTTTGCGTATACTAATTGAATTAGGAGTTACTTGGTCGGTTAGATCAGGGTTACTTGGTCGGTCGGGTTACTAGGTCGGTCAGGAGTTACGTCAGGGTTACTAGATCAGTCAGGGGTTAGTAGGTCAGTCAGGGCTTACTTGGTCTGGGTTAGTTGTGTGTTAGCTGCTAGTCTCAAAGATTTTCAGTGAAATCTTCCAAACTTTTTTGATCTGGTAAATGTGACTATAGTAGTACAACATTAGCTTTGTTAATTGGCAGCTGAAAATTAGGAACATTACTCAATTATATCCCCTGTATTTTCTATCACAACTTAAATCAACTTATTGAATGTTGATTCAGCTAATACAAATTTGGTACAAGTGTTAAACATACACGTTTATTAGACAAAAGCTGCTAGTTTTCAACAGATAATTGGGCTTTAATAATAGCATCATTCATTCCAGGTGCAAATGGGAACAAATGTCCAGCACCTGGTATCTCATGATAGTTAATCCAAGGAAGTCTTTGAGCTGTGTAACGCTGCATCACAACAGGCACGAGTCTGTCATCATCACCTTGCCATAGATGAACCTTACCCTCGCCGTTAGGAAATGGATTTGCAAGCTCCATTGGATCAAATTCCCATTTTCCAAACGCTACGTTCATGTCTTGGTGGATGGATTCGTATTCCCCTTGCTGTCTTACTTGATCCTGTTAGGCATAAGATAACAGATTAGATATGTAGTAGGGAAAAATCAATGGAATGCTATGAAATAATAGACTTTGCACAATTTAGCGCAATACTAACTAAATCTGGTACAATAAAAAGCTAATATAGCCTATATAGATATATTTTTCCCATGATATTTTCTCTTATTTAGTCTAATACAGAGAGATTTACATATGAAACTATAAACAGAGAAATTTCAAAATCTCACAGGTATATTCACCAATGCACTATGCAGTATATCACATCTATATCATTATCGTTATAACTGTATATTGACATATTGTAGGTGCACATAATCAAGTCATATCAGAGTTGTAGGAGTAAGAACTGTACTGTACCTTGTAGTCCTTCCTCTCGAATTTAGAAATGAGTTCTCGGTCTTGTACAGAAAAGAGATGATCGCTGTGAGCGATAACACTTGAAGTTGGGAAAATCTTTTGAGTCTGCCACCAATATGTTAGCCAAGGAAGATAGTATGGCACAGTTCCTGACAGCACATCCCATATACTTGCTCTGCCTGAGAGCTCTTTAGTGATGTTAGCAGGTAAGCTAGTCCACCAAAATTGGAAAACGGGCGATAAAAATGTTGCTCCTGCTAGCCTGTTAGTAAAAGTATTAGATATCAGACTAACAACACAAATATATAAGAACCTCGGCCTAGGTCCTGAACAACAAACTCGACAAAATTATACCTGTGTGGAATATATTTTAGGCAGCCCCAGATTAACTGTCCACCCATGGAGTAGCCAATGACATAAAACTTCGGTCCAAGATTCAGTTGATCTGCAAGCTCTTCAATATCAAAAATAGTGCTTTTTACTGTTCTTTTTGGGTGTGGATCGCTCTCTCCATACCCCGGTCTGTCAAATGACACTATGTATATGCTTAAACTCTCAAATAGATCCTGAAGAAGCATAACATATGCATAAAATCATAAATAATGTGTAATTTACAAGAAGTTAATAATGTTGCTACAACAATTAAGGAAAAAAGGACTGTGATAAAGTACATACAGGAGAGAGTTCTGTGGCAACTGCAGCATGATGTCTGCAGGAATCAAATCCATGGACAAATATGAACTTATGCTTTGCTTCATCTCTAGGGACACCGTATTCTTTGTAGGCCAAATGCCTTCCATCTCTTAGCTTGATTCTTGGAGCTGTTATCGGAGGGCCTCCGGGAGATCCACAGATTTTCGGTGGAGGAGGGCGAATGGCCTGATAAGCCCATGCCAAGAAACCCACAAACACCAACACAAAAATCAAACCTGAAAAACATACAAAGACGGTTTGTCATAAAATAATAGTTAGTACCTCTGTCTCACCATTTTCCCAGAGTATCAAGTGAGCTATGCAATTCACCCTCCCTTCTAAAGTATGAATTCTTAGATGTTTCCAGGTACACTCAAAGTTGTACAACCTAGAAAAATTCATTTTCTTACTCATTTGCTCATTTGAATATCCAAAATAATAAAAAACTAGCCATGAATGAACAAAGTATTAGGAAAAAGATAAGGGAAATTCTCAACGGTAAGCCCCAACTTTTGCTACGCACCAATGGTGATCTCCCTTTGTTTTTTTATTATACGAAATGACCTTAGTTAAAAATTTCATCTCACTCATAACCTTATTTCATTAAATATTAACTGGTTAGATTTGTATTTAATTTTTTTTTTAAAATTAACCCTAACCACCAAAAACGAGCCACCCCACCTTCCAGCCACCACCATCCTTTCTGGCGACGCTACCCTAGGTTTCTCCGACCGTCGGCGATGCTACTCAGGCTCCTTCCCCGACCGCTAGTGACGCTGCGCCAGCTCTACTTCGACCATCGCCAATTAGATTCCCAAATCCCCACTCACGACCCTCACTCACTCTCCTCCTTCCCACGTCACCAACTCTAAATCGCCGAACTCAGATTCCCGACCACCTTTCTCTTTCTTCTCTGCCTTCTCCTTCACCAATCTCTCTCCGATCCTCGCCTAGAATCAAAACCTCAAACCTCAAACCCTAAACCCATCACCCCTCCTCGACCAAAACCAACCCCACAGCGAGAATCGAAGGTCAAAGGAGAGAAATTTGTGATGTTAGGGTTCGGGTCTAGGCGGTGGTAAGGGTGGAGGCGATGGTTCGGCGGTTTGGTGGGAGGTCGGTGTTTCAGATGAGGGGTTTGGTGGCTCCGGTGAGGGTGGAGGTGGTGCTGACCTGGCTACGTTTTGTGGGGATGAGGGTGGAGGTGGTGGCTAGGATGGTGGTTTTTCTTTTTAGGTTTTTATTTTTCAAAAGCTAATCATAGTTAGTTTTTTTTTTTTAACTAAATAACACTTATTAATGTCGTAAATGAGATAAATTTCATAATTAGGGTCATTTTGTATAATATAAAAAATGGATGTCATAATTGGTATGTAACAAAACTTGGGGGATCACCATTGAGAATTTCCAAAACAAATAGCTTTGGTACACCTAATTACCTAGGAACATAATATACATGTTCCATCTAGTAGAAATTGCACTTGTTCACACACCATACACGTTTAAGATATGAATTAATGAATTTCCTAGTAAGCTAGATTGTTCAACCAAAATAAGTTCAGATTAGTTTAGATAAGTTTTGACACACACAGTCACACAAGCAAGACAATAAGGAGAGAACAAAAGAAGAATCCTCCTCAATATTTTCGGTTCATATATCCATATTAGAAGAACAACAAACTTAAACTAGACAATATACTTATTTTAAAATAATCTTATAATTACCCCCGTTTTTACCAATCATGTACATTCGACCTTTATTGTACAACTCCAACTTATCAAAGCACATATCAAAAAGATAATTGAAAAAAAGATTGAAAGCTTACCAGAAGAAAATCGGACTGATTTGTTGGTGCTAACCCCTTGAACCATTTTGAATGAGTTTGAGGGAAACAGAGAACGATGTAGTAGGCAATTCAATCTATTTATCTACTCCATAACAACTAAAAGTGGCTATTAAAGTCAGTAAGTCACTAGTAGCATCGTACTTTTTAGAAATGGGTGATATTTGGAAGATGCGTTGGCATTTGGCAGATTTGAGTGTCTTTGTCTTTGAATCTTTTGTCCTCTTTACAAAGTTTATGATTTTGTCAAGAAGAAAAATTTGATTTTTATAATCCAACATTTCGCCAATATTAGTTTACTAATCTCACCTTTCATAGTTGATTAATCTCATATTTATATACCTTTTTATTTTGAGAAGATATTGGGTGTGGACTGTCGCATGCATATATGTGTGCGGCTGAGTTGATTGATATATTTCACTTGTTGGTTGATATGTTTTATTTGTTGGCTGATATGATTTTTGTATTGGCTAATATATTGCTGTTGTTGGTGGATATACTTTATTTTTTATTTTTTGATATTTGGTTGCTATCAGACATCAATTGGCTGATATGTTTTTTTAGTTGGCTGATATCTTTATTTTGTTGGATGATATGTATATTTTGATTGTTGGCTTATATGTTTCATTTTGTTAGCTGATATGTTTATTTTGTTGGCTTACCTAATACTTTTGTTTGCTGGTTTCATTCTTTAGTTGGCTGATATGGTTTATTTGTTGGCTAATATGTTCCTTTAATTGGCTGATAAGTACCTTTTGTTGACTGATATATTTCTCTTATTTGCTGATATGTTTCTTTTGTTTGGCTGATAAGTTTTTATTAATGGTTGATACGTGTCACATCACCATTTCCAAGATGCAACCAATACTCAAGCAATAAATGTAAACAAACTAATAAAATCATTAGAAGGGGTACTCTGAAAAACCTCCAAATCCAAATACCCATAAAGCTGGCCACCAATAATGCCCCAAGAAAATCATTAAACTCCATTTTCCCTTCTTTAACAACAAGTTTATCATCCCCAAAGTGGGACCACATCATCTTCCTTCTTAACAAAGAGCAGATCTAGAATTCATCCCCTTCATACAACCGAAAGATCCAATTTCTGATCAACCTCCATCGCAGCACCGCTCCTGAGTTCGTTTCTCGCTTTGCCTTTCGCTTCGGTATCGTCATCATCGTTATCTTCATCATTATCGTCATCTTCTCCGTCGCACGAAACATTGGGTGCGGACTGTCGCACTATTTTATCTGGTTCAGCAGGTCATCCCACCTTCTACAACAAGTTACATGTCCACAAGTCACGTTATGATTGGTCTAAAAATATTTATTTTTGTATAAAAAAAACATTTTTAATTCCTCTTTCCTTTCCCCTTACCCTTACCCTCTTTCCTGCCCCTCACCTCCATCTAATCTGACAGCCTCACAACCAACTTTACCACCCTCCCCCGACCACCCTGTTGTCCTTCCCTGCTTCCTTAGCCACCCCAATCACCAACCACGACCACCCCAATCACCAACCACGACCACCCAACCTCATTCTTCACCTTCACCCCCAACCCCTTTTCAGTTTCAGTGGGTGGTAGCTGTAAGGGTTTCAATGGGTGGGGTTTCGGATTTATAGGGGTTCAATGTGGGTTTCCAACGGTTACAAGGGTTTTCGACAGGTTGGGGTTGTCGGACGAAGATTTCGAGGGTTTTTGAGGATTTCAAGGGATTTTTGAGTGTTGCCGGAAAGAGAGGGAAATGGGGACAAGTTGGCTTGATAAAGGAGGTTAGGGGGAGGGTGAGAGAGTGGCCAGAAGGTTTTTGTGGGTTTCCGATGAGAGGATTGGCCGAAACAGCGAAAAGAGAGGGGAATGGGGAAAGTTGGACGGAAAAGGAAGGTTAGGGGAGAGGGAAGAACTAGCCGAAAATGGGTGATGGGGTTGTCGGACAATTCAGGCTACTTGAAACCATGGGGGACTTTGTTGTGGCTTAGGGGAAGGTGGATGGTGGTTGCTGATTTTTTTAAATCCTTTTTGTATTGTTAAAAAAAGTGGAAAAAAATTACCCAAAGAATTGGTCGCTGGTCAGGTTGGCCATTGGCCGTTGGCCTAATAGAATAAGATGCCACCTAAAGCAGGGATTAATCAGCTATAATGAAAGGTGGGATTAGTAGACTAAGACCGGCGAAAGGTTGGATCCTTGATAAAAATACTAGCGAAGGTAAAACGAGACATTTACGTTATATTTCTTAAGCTTAATTTTGATCATTAAGAACTAAAATATTTCGATCTTTCGAAATGGTTAATTTGGACGATTAATATTAGGGTTAATCTTGAAAAATTTAGATGTATAATGCAAATCTAGTGTATAGTTTAGAAAAATCTTAAATGAAGTAGAAAACTCAAGTAATGTTGTCATGTAATTTGTTAATTTAAAAATAATTATAATTTAATTTATTTAATTTTGATTTAATTTGAACTCACCTATATAAAATGCTAGATTCTCCCCTAAATATGAGACAGGTGTTGAAAAATCTAGAAAATTGGTAATAACAGCTATAAATATATTGTACGTGTATGAATTAAATGGTGGGTTAAACAAGATAGCTCCACCAATGATTAATAGAAACTAAGGTTTCTATTAAGAGAGTGATCAGAGACATAAGCTCTCACAAACATGTTTGTATAATATATGATAAAAATTTTGAAATCATAAAATTGTTATTTGATGTTCAGGTACCTTAGGTACATTTATGTGCCCAAATTTTATTAATTAATATTATTATAAGTTATTTTTAGTTACCATACTAACTAGTACATGGCAAAGTTATTTATGATAATATAGATAAATATATGTTACTTCTCTAATAAATAATTTTGAGTTTCATTCAATAAAATATCCCAAATATATTTTAGTTTTCTCTATAATTCAAGCTTAATTGAATCAGTTTAATAATAGGCACAATATACAAAAAGGTGATCAATTAATTTAATGAATAATGATAGCAAGACGAAGAATTGTCTTATAATGTTGTTAATGTTTTATTAAATTTCATCAGGTCAAAATCTTAATATTTAAAGTGTTTATCATCTTTGTATATAGTATTATAAATTTCTTATTTTTGCTATTTTTTTTTCTGTTTTCTGCTTTTAATTTCTACGCGAGCACATACATTTTTTTTTATTTCTTTATTTTTATTACTTATTTAGGGGCTTGCCAATAGACCAAAAACATATCATTTAAGTTAATTATATGTAACAAATAAAATTAAAAATAAATTAAACCAATAGTACGTAATTAAAAAAAGATCCGATAAATGTTATTACCCCTTAAAATTATCAATTTCTAAAATTGTATTGAAATCATCTATGGAATGTTTTTTAAATACTAAAAGTAGCATTTATGAAAATATAATAAAAAAAAGTTGAATGGATAAGATCTCCTTAAAAATCAAGGATCTAGATTAAAAAGTAATATAGTGGCCACACTGCCACAATTTATTTTATTATTTTTTGTAAAGGAAATAGTAGCCACAATTTTCAAATATATATATGTATAGAAATAGGACCATGTGAGAATACATCCCTTATGTGAGAACACTTTATATGTGAGAACAAATCTGGGGCATTGAAGGAACAAGATCTAATGGCTAGTAGGTTAGTTTTATGAGAAAAATAATTAATATTAAAACTAACAATTTCTCTCTCCTCTTGTTCACAGGTACATAATTTCCATCAGTATTTTTCGAATTTCTTACTCTTAATTTGGTATTTGGATTGAGATTTGTTAATCAAAATTGATTGTTCTTAATTTCCATTAATCAAAATATGGAATTTGAGATGACAGAGACTAATGGAAATTAAGAACAATCAATTTTGATTAACAAATCTCAATCCAAATACCAAATTAAGAGTAAGAAATTCGAAAAATACTGATGGAAATTATGTACCTGTGAACAAGAGGAGAGAGAAATTGTTAGCCTTTGGATTTTCGACTTAGACGCCATTGATGGACCTTCAAAGCTTGTGGAGGGATAGATAAGCTCGGTATTCAATCTTAGAGAGAGAAATATGCGTGGGCTTTTTTTGGGGTAGGGGGTTTATTTGATTAATCTCAGCTGTTAGATCTAGTGCTATCTAACGATTGTGATTTATTCTCATATAAGATTGAGTTCTCACATAGAGACATGTTATATATATATATATAATATTTTGTACATAATATGCTTGACTAGTTTATACTTCTTATTATATTAATTAATAATATTGTTATTATTTAATATGTTCCACCTTTCAATTGTATTTCTTGATTACCTTAAGCAAAATATAAATTAAGAAAAAGAGGGGAATTTTTTACAGGCTAATGACATTTGTCATTGATTTTTCGCTTTTAGTATAGATTTATAGATATATTATAGATAATTATCTCGACTATATGTATACTTCAATTTCCATGTAACACAAGTTACTCTCAAGTTAAGAATCCTAATTACTCTCCTATCTCAAAATAACATATAGATATTATTCGTCCATTTTTCTCTCATAAGTATCTAATTCTCCTTTTTCTTTTTGTTGATTCTCTCTTGCTAATTGCTATGGCGGCTCTGATTGGTGAACTTGGAAAATATTTTTGTCTCTACGTCTTCTACATGATCGATAAAATGATTTTTACTATCATCATCGACTTAGAAATAGGAGTTGATAAGGATTGGAGAGTTTTCTTTTTGGCTTCTTTTATTTCTATATTTCTATCTTTATTTCACATTTGGATATACAAAAATTTGAAATATAGTAGGATTATTGCATAGTTTTACTGTTACAGTGTTAAATTGGGCTATTTGGGGTTTATATTCTATGATTTTAGGTACATCAAATTTGTGTAATTTGACATATTTCATCAATATAATTGAACACTATATTCTATGGTGCTTATGGCTATGGTCTTAAGGACAATGACGGTTCCTGAGTTTCAGATGCGGGCCGGGGGACATTCGTTCTTTGGCTCTAAATTTTTACAGGTTATTATATAGTAGGAAATCAGATTGACCTTTTGTTTCTCAGCTCCCTTGGGATTCCCTTCACCACCCTACTTTGTCTGGAAGACATCGCCATTCCCTGCTAGTTCCTTTTTTGGTTGATGATATTAGGTAGACGATGTTTTGTATAGCTGATGGTAAGTCTCCAAATCCTGATGGTATACTTCGGCC